CCAAGGACAGACAAGAATTGTCTAATTTTAGAAAATGATCATTGGGGCTGGGAATGTGGCTCAGGCGGTAGCGCGCTTGACTGGCATGCGTGCGGCCCGGGTTCGATCCTCAGCACCACATACCAACAAAGATGTTGTGTCCGCCGAGAACTAAAAAATAAATATTAAAAATTCTCTCTCTCTCTCTCTCCTCTCTCACTCTTTCTTTAAAAAAAAAAAAGGTATTGAGTCCATCTACAAGTATATACTACTACTACTACTAAAGAGAGCTGGGGATGTGGAACAGTGGTTAGGCACTCCTGGTACCAAAAAAAAAAAAAAAAAAAAAAATCGGAATAATTCCCCAGTTTGCAGTCTTTCTCTAGGAGAAGGCTAACACTCAGTATGTCAAAATTAGCTGTGTTATCAAGTCCTCTGGGAACAAGTAGCAATTGAGCACAAGCTAGATGCTGCTACATTCATATTTACCAGTTCAGCTTCTGGACAGAGTCCTGTCAATGGTGAGGGTTTAAGAAGAGTTACAAAAAGCGATTTCCCTATATGATGGATACCATGCTGTGGAAGCCAAGAAGTCTGGCTTTTCCATCTTTCTTGCACATGGAGAAGCCTGGAGTGCAGGCAAAATCTAGAAGCATCTGTGTCCTCCAGGATCCTGCTGTGGCCCCATCTGTGGCCAGCCTCTGAGGTCTGGCTACGTAAGGCTGCACCGCTAATCAATAGAGAATCTTTAATAATGAGGGCGTGGTGGTGCAAGACAGCGACTCAGGAGACAGGCAGGAGGATCTCAAGTTCGAGGCCATCCAAGTCTCAAAAAAAAAAAAAATGAATGGAGATGTGGCGCTGTGGTAAAGCGCCTCTGGGTTTAATCCCCCGCACCACTCCAAAACAAACAACAAAAAAGCTTCCAATATTGACAACAGTAGGAAAACCCAGCTCCGTGAGCGAGTCACGGTGGGTCCAGAGCCAATGTACCACCGAGAGGGGAGGCCTCCGGGCTTCCTAGAGAGGACGGGCTCCAGCAGGACTTCCGGTTCGTGGCCAGTGGCAGGGCAAATACTCTCGCTCGGGCGACCTGTGTGATCACGTTCTTTTCCAGTGTCTCATGGTCGCTCGCGTCTTCTGCTTCCCCTAGCTCCCAAGTCTGCGGCCAGCGTTAGCACCTGGGCCACTTGAGCCTTTAGCTCGATTTGCACCCAGCAGCATTTTGAGCATTTTGCCCTAAAGCTCTTATTGATCCAGCTGCCATCTGCCCACTTTGCGGAGGCGTCTTCTCTCGGTCGCGATCAGAGGCATGGAGACGCTTTCAGTACCAACTACTTGCTTCGCCAACCCAAGTAGCCCCTCTGGGGCCAAGATGCTGTCTAGCTGGGACTCAGCTGTGGACAGTGAAGTGCAGTGGCGTGTTTTGAGAAGCTTTGAGCCTTGACTGTAATTCAGTTATTTCTGGTGGCCTCGCCCAGAGACCATGCCTGGATTTCAGGATGGCAGGATGTAGCAACCGCTCATAAGAGGCAAACGATAAGAAAAGGAAGAATGAACTTCATGCAATTTGATCAAACTGGCTTGAGAAGCAGCTAGGTCGCTTCTCCACGGGTCCCAAAGAAGACATTACAATTTATAGAAACAAAAGCCAGAAGATAAACATATGTTGATGCAACTAGGCTGTGCTTAGCCAGAGAATATGTCAATCTTTAATTATTCTTGACCTCCGTCTTCAAAATGAGGAAGCTGATTTTCAGCATGAAGAAATTTAGAAACTGTTTCCCAGTGATGGAGCAGTTATTAGTTACTGGTGCAGTAGGGGCCAGGAGTCCCCTGTGTGGGAGGGCAATCATGATTCTCAGTGAACCAGTTACCGGCATGGGTATAAGGGGGTAGGCCGGTATGGGGGCTGCAAGAGAAGGCCAGTTTCATTCCTGGTTTAGTTCCTCACTTAGATCCAGAGGACTTCCTTTTCCAAGATCAGATAGCAGTGCAGGAAGCCAGGGAAAGTCAAAGGTGCTCTGGACAGATGAGCTGATTTTAAGTCTGCCTTTTATTAGCGCTCAGAGAAATCAGTACAATACTCTGGGTCCCACCTGGCTTCCCCTTGGCAGTACAGCTATGGCAAGTCTATATATGTGTCTATGCACATGAATACATATGATTTTTGGCGAAAGTGGTATAAGGCAAAATGAGAGCATCAAGACCGGGAAATAGCTTTGGTTAGAGAGAGCACCTGTTTTTGAGAAAGTCCATTTAATTGGTGAAGTGGAAGCACATGCCATTTTCTGGGAACTGGGAATTCACATTGCTAGCTATAGATGAAAACTGAAACTGGAAAAGTCTTGTAGTGGAATATATTTGCCCTGTAAATTGTGCATGTAGATTAGCATAAACCTGGGGGTGTTTTCTTTCAGCAGATATATTCTGAGCAGCCTCGGTGTGCCATGCCATGGGTTTTGTGAATATGATGGGAAATTGTGATAAGAGTAATTTAAATTATTAAATTCTCTGCAGACTCATTTATTTAACAGGTATTTATGGCATTCCTGCTTTGCATTAATAGTAACCAAGACAGTGTCTTCAAGGAACTTAAATTCTAATGGGGACACCAACAGAACACCATTGAGGCATAATATGTAGCCAGGGACTGATACATGCTAACAGGGAAAGGTTTGTAAGGGAATGAGGAGTGACTAGAGTGTGTGGAGTGAAAGAAGGGCTGCTCTGAGGTGATATTTAAGCAGAATGAGGTGAGGGAGTGAATCAGTCAGAGAACAGCAAGGATCAAAGGTGTGAACAGTCTTACAATGTTATGAGTTTTTAAGCAACAGAAAGAAGGCAAGTACTTCAAAAGTGAAAGGAACCAGGCAGGGCAGATAGAGATGAGGTGAGAGAGGCAGGCACAGACCAGTTCTTGTGTGACTTGGGTACAACTGGGCAAGGCCTCCTTCATCCAGTTGGGAGGTCTCAGTGACCTGATGATGTCTGCACTGTGATCTAAAGACAGGGGAGAGAATTCCAGGTTGGTGGAAGAACAAACACAAAGTCCTTGGTAGGAACGAGTTTGACTTGTTTGAAGATGAAGTGGAGAAAGGAAGCCAGTGTGGCTGGATTATACA